TATATAAGTCATAAATTAGACACATAACCATATACTTTATCCAGATATACAAACTTTTTATTGCCTAAAAATGTTTTTTTACATATTCCTTAGATAGATAGAAGAATCATTGGATATTTTCCATTACACTTTGAATTATGAGTTTAGAAATTAATTTTTGTTATGTATAAATTATTAAAAATGTTTAAATTGTACTCTTTAGTTAAGGTCACGTTTCGGTCTGGAACCCATTTCCATAGACCATATCTAACAGCAATGTAAAAATGAAATCAAATAATTCACAAAATAGACTGAGGCAGACCATAGTCCGAACCGATTTATATATATTTTGAATACCTGTATTAAACAACATATTAATATTCATAAAATTAAAAATAACAGGAAAAGATATTTTATGTGTTAAATCTATAAGTATAATAAATAATATTATTTTCAATCAATATTTTTGCGATATATAGGCCTTTATTAGAGTTTATGGCATGATAATTTTTATATTTTTAATATTTTTATTTTGAAATGGCTCAAATTAAAATAATTGGGTTTGCCAAGCTTTCTCTCATTCCATAATTGCCAAACTATTGAAATTGTGGAATAAAAAAAATATATTCCAATGGATATCGGAACTGTCGTTTACATCTAAAATTTCTAAAAAATGTATGTATGAAAAATTTTCTTCTAAAGTTGTGAATTCATATGCTGTTGAGACAAAGTAGTAAATCAGCGTGGCCAGCAATGGAGGGGGTAGGGGATAAAAATGGAGATTAATAAAATATTTTTTAAAAAGCCTTCACTAACAAATTAGTACTTATTTTTCAAAGCTAGTAGAGTCTAATAGATGTGCTCTTAGTGAAATGGCAGAATGGTTTAAAAAGACTTCTCTTTAGTAAAGGATGTCTTATTAAACTTGATAATAAAACTCAATTTTTCTTTGCATCTATGCTAAGATTTTATGCAATCGCTTTCAAAGAAAAATAATATTGATAATTGACATAATGAAAATCGCATAAAGTATTATTGTATTAGTAAAGAAATTGCCCAGGTGTTAATGATGACTATTATAAATCATAGGATAGATTAGTTCAAAGTCTATGAATTTAATATTCACATACTGTTACAATGTTGGAGGAGCAGTAGAAGAATATTAGAAAAAAAATCCTATGTAGGTATTATTTTCTTGGCTAAAACATTAAATCAATTTTTAAAAATTGGCTGAATCGAGGTTTTAAACAACACTACTTTTTGGATAATTATTTTAGTCAAATAAACTAAAGACTCTTGATTCATAAAGAACATTCTTAGAAATTTAAAATCGCTAATATAATAAAATTATTATATATTTAGACCTAAACATTTGCACAAAAGAAAAAATAAAAGAATCGTTGTTGATTTATTCTAAAAAAAACGAATAAATCAAGATTTTAGCCAATCAAATATTACCTAAGCCTCGAGGTCTCGCTAAGAGATGGCCAAATATTTTTGTCAAAATCTTGAGGGCTTGGTAATATTTGTTTGGCTATAATCGTGATTTAACCTTTTTTTAAATTAACTAAATGCTATTAGTATACCACACTACTGATGAAATTATATATTTTATTGTAAATTTAGTGTCTATATGAAATATTTCTTAAGAAAATTTTTGTATATTAAAATTTACAATTAAATTTTTTAATATAATTTATGTGGAAATTGGGGTTTTTTCTAATAAGTAATTCTTAAAAAATTCACATTTTTGTACAAATTCTTTTCCGCATATTTTATGGGAGCCCAGCAGAAATTTTTCCAGGGTGGTGCAAAACAAAACATAACTATAGCCAAAATATGTTTAATTTATGTTAAATGTTAATTATAATCTCCTAGGTTTTTGTAAAAATATTTCTTAGATATCTGAATAAAATGTTTCTTTATCGAAGATTAGGGCCCAATGAATACTAGTGTTGATCTAAGATGATTTTTAAGTTTCATTGTACTAAAACTACTTTTAATTTTCTATGAAGTAGTTGGTAGAGTAATAAAGTAATTAACATTTTTAGAAAATAGGGAATAATAAATTTTAGGTTTTTGAGTTTGAGATATTTCATACACTTCATTCATTATCATCATTTATATTATTTTATAACCTTCTTTAACAAAATTATTTTGCTCTTTTGTAGATTAAAGAAAATAATTATAAACAAAAAATATGATAATTACATTTAAAATATTAAATCAAATTTTTTGTTTTTGAGTTTCATTTATTTCATATTTATTGAAACTTTAAATAATTTTTTACTGTTTTAGTTTAATTTAGTATCTTGTTCAGAGTTTATGAAGAACAATTATGCAGTAAGGGATTCAAAATTATAATTTTTATTATATTATTTTGAAAAAATATAATTAGTTATATTAAGGTTCAATATCAATTAATATTCAATATTTTTTAATTTCATATTTGGTCAAATTTTGTTTTTTGAGGATAATTTTTTTTGATTCGTTTTGTTTACATTTCATATTTTTATAGTTAGTTACCAAAAATATTACGTTTACTAATTTGAATTTCAGAATTAACATTTTTAGGTGATATTTTATCATAAACAATGTATTATCAAAAAGATAAAATTAATGAAGAAAATAATAAAAATTTACCAAGAGGAAAACATATATAAATAATTATGCTACCAACGAATAGCCTTATAACTATACTGAAAACTGATTTAAATTTAGTTAATAATCATTTTGATTATTATCCTAATCAACTAATAAATTTTAAAAAATACAATTTTTTTTTTAAAAATCCGGATATTTGAAAAATATATTATTTGTAAAAGAAAATTTAGAGTGGTGCAACTGCAGTCTTTTTATATTATATTATATTATATATAATGCAAGTTAAGTATCTTATCATAATAAATAGGCTTTTTTTTAAATACAATTATTAATCAAATGAGAATTCCTAAAAATATATTATATTATTTGATATTTACTTTAATATATCTAGCATTTTATTTAGTAATTTAAAAATCTAAATAGTAAAGACATGACATTTTTTATTCCCATCGCAATTAAATCCCATGGTATAGTAAATTATATAATTATAAAATTATTATTAATAATCCTGTTCTTAGCAAAGGGGAAGGATAAGAGATAAAATAAAAAATGACCTGAGATATATAAAATCAATTTATTAATTAAAAAATATTTTTCAACGTGTATTAATGGACAAAAAAAAATAAACTTCACATAATTCCCTGAAGAACAATTTCTATAAATTATAAAGTCAATTTAATATAAATGTTTAATATAACTAACTACCAATACATATATTAAGTTTAAAATATATAAGTATCATTAAAAAAAAATTACATTTCTTTATGCAAAATTTAAAAATTTTCAAACTCGATTAATTAAATGAGATATAAAAATTTAGAATGAAAGGTCAATGATAAAGCTTTTATTTTTTTAAACGTTAATTATTAGGATTCTCGAGTTTAATATGGGGTTGGAAAATTTATTAAATGATTTTAATATTATTTATATGGCTACCATGTATTACCAAAGCTTTTCTAAAAATTATATTTTATAAGATTCGAAGAATATGTTGATCACGATTAATTAAATGAGATGGTCAATGATAAAGCTTTTATTTTTTTAAACGTTAATTATTAGGAATCTCGAGTTTAATAAGGGGTTGGATAATATATTAAATGATTTTAATATTTTTTATAGGGCTACCATGTATTACCAAAGCTTTTCTAAAAATTATATTTTATAAGATTCGAAGAATATGTTGATCAATTATTTAATGAAGTCCAGTTATATTTTATAATTTAATTCTTGTTGGAATTTGTGCAGAAATAAAGTTTCTGGTCTGGGGATAGAATTACTTTAGTTTCTTTCTTTATTTCTAGTTCAGATTAAATCATGGATAAGGGTAAAGTAGTTCATACAAGGTGTGAAATAATTTCGCACAGTTATGATTAAATACGGTTTGAGTTAGATTTCGTTTTTAATAAACGCATCGCCTCGTGATAATTAAATTACAAAACAAATAATACAGCTATTTTATTATTCGCGATGATTTCAGCAACGCTTAACCATCATCACACATGCCATAAATAAAGCTTTACATTAGAAATATCTATTTAAAAGTTATTTAAGTTTTGTGGATGAGGATTAGAATCAGATTTCGGCTTAGTTAAAGTTAAGGCAGTCAAGTCACATATCAGAAGTTATAAAAATGAGAACTTAGAGAGACCAGTAGGAAATTGTAAGTTATTTTCCATATCATAACATCAGAAACAGATAATATTTACGCTCCTTATTATTTATTTTTTGCTTATGATTTAAGATCTCTTGAAGGGTAAATTATTACTGAACAAATTATTTTTATATTAATAAATATATCCGCAACACATTCATTATTTTGCGGTAATGGTTTGACGATAGCCAATTAAGGAATGTTCGGTTAAGGTTATTAAATATTGGAAAAGATTCGCTATGGTGAATATTGCTCATCCTTTTATTTAATCACTTATTATTTTATTTGTATAATATTCTTTATAACAATAACCATAGTTTTTTATTATTTTTTTTATCTATTCCGTCCGATTTGTGTTATATTATAATTATTTTTATATAACTATGAAATGTATTTTAAAAAATGTTCCATTTTTATACAATATACAACTGGCAATATATATTTTTGATAAATTTTTCAATTTTTATATAACTTCTAAAATAATAGGTATTTTATATAATATAATGTATTCTATAAAATTAAATGCTTGGGACATTTGATAAATATTTCAATTTTTATATAACATCTAAAATACATATTTTATATAATATAATGTATTTTATAAAATTAAATGCTTGGGACATAAACTATCAAAAAAAAAAAATAAAATTTAAAAAATAATCAATTTTAGTACTATAGACTGTTATATTCTGTTCTAATACAACACCCAACCACTTGCATTTTTTTATAATAATTTTAACGCAGAAAAGAATATAATATTGGTAACCTCCATTTAGTTCGTCGATTTTGGAACCAGGTTTTGACTTGTGCATCAGACATTTTTAAAGAATGGGCCATATTTGCTCTCTCGGAAGAAGCCAAATACTTTTGCCTGATAAAGCGTTTTTCCAACTCGCATATCTGGACACGGGTAAACGAAGTTCGGGGTTTTTTGCGTTTAGGCGGATTTCTGTTTTGATAAGGATGACCTATTCTTCTGGGATGAACTATAAAAAAGTAGCATTAGTGAACAAATTTTTCAATTTGATCTTCATTGAGATCATGTTTTTGGTCAAATTTGATAGTTTTTTGCTCAACTTATAAAAAAAAGAAGGTTGTAATGATAAATAAATAGAAAAACTTCAGCTCAATTAATATAAGACGATTCTAAAAAATCAAACTAGACAAGTTTTGATACTTCTACCGTGAAGAGGGGATGAGAGGGGAGGGTATGACCCAATAATATAGAAATTTAAGGGGGGGGGATAGGGAGTTGTGAAGACGTTTTCGCTATTTGAATTAAAAGGAAGTTTGTATGGTAGGAGGTAAATTTTTTGGTGAAACTGCTTCAAAAATTATTAAATTTAACTAGAAATAGTATAATGGTTATATATTAATCAGATCGATTAATATTATAATTTCCTAAAAATTATTTATAATATAAAAAGAAATACTTATTTGATTTCCTTTAATATATAATTTGAAAAATAATATAGAGAATTATATATTGTAAATGACTAACATGGATCTAATAAATTAGTTCCAGATTTGGGGTAATCTGACTCAGAAATGGGTTCGGTATTAAATGTAATTTTCTCTTGGTTTTGTATAGAATTTGAGTTAAAAGATGTAGATGCTTTGTGATCAATATGTCGTAATGAGATATCAAACCTAACTCCCTCGTAGCTATTTGTTGATATAGGAATATTTGAATTATTGTTTAGATTTATATAATTTTCTTGCTTAGTCCCTTTATCATTCGTAATGGAAAATGGATTGCAACGTGCTAAAGATGTGTTATTGTTATTATTATTATTATAATGGAAGGGATTATCACGGAATAAAATCTCACATTTACAAATCATTTTACAGGAACATTTTTTCATGTGAGTGGACATTTCGTTTTGTATATTATGCGCGGAATAAAACATAGAAAGATATTTATATATATTAGGATTATATTCCCCACATGATTTGCTAGCAAAATTATTCTCGTACAAGTTTTGCTTATAAGGGTAGTGAATATATTTCTGATTAAATAGGGAGGATAAGTGATCTGGAGGAAACTTTATATAGGGATCTATCATATGAAACATATTATCTTCTTTCTGAGGGTCAGAAAACGGGTATAATGGATATTGATAAAAGCCTAGTCCAATATCATCACTTATTACCTTATTACCGAGTTCACTCTGATATAGTTGTGATTTTGAATATTTACCATTAATGTTATAACTTTTTAATGATGGAGATAAATTTTGCGATTTGGCATTGGTTTTATCGTTTAATATTTTTTTAATACTGAATGCTAAATCGGCATTATATTTCCTTTCGGTAGTATTTTTTTGATCCAGGGTTGAAGTTTCCATGCATTTTTGACTATACGAATATTTCACCTTTAAAGATTCATCATCACCTAATTGGTCGATGTACATTGCTTACTAATTTAGTAAAATTTTGGAAACAACTTAGATAGACTTCGTTATGATTGTCAATTGAATTCGAATTGGTCATAATATTTATCTTTTTTATCATATATTAAACCCTTGAAATCGGATTTAATTATATGCCCATGAAGGAGCGAATATTGTAAAAACATTTATTTAAAAAATAAAAATGAGAAGGATTTAACTTCCAAATCAAAAAAAAATCCTTTTAATCTAATTTAAAAAAATTGATTATTACCATGTAATAGACGAGACTTTAAAGAACAACGAGCATTACAACTAATATTTTTTTTAAAAAAATTTATATTATGGAATTCCTTAGATTAAAAACTTTTGTTTCATAAGAAATCATTAAAAATTAAATATTCAAAATATAGGTTCTCTTCTCAATTTTTTAAAGTGTTTGGTTTTGTTTGATATTACATGACTTACTCATTTGTTATATAAATAAATTATGATTGATTAGGCGACTTTTAGGTAGAACGATCGGAATTGGTAATCTATATTTATATAAACTTTAGTGCCGATTTTACATTTTGATTAGCTTGATATGTAAAAACAAATAAGAATTATCTTTTATAACTTTTTTTTAAATAACTTTAAAAAAAATATAGTCTTTTAAAATCAAAGAATCATTTAAATATTTAAAAGATTTATTCATTAATTAAAAAAAAAATTTCTTGGTGCTCAAGTTGATTTGAAGCAAATAAAAAGGTTTAAAATATTATATAGATGGTATTTGTTTTAATAATTTGTTTAATGCCTTCGGCGACAGTATTAGAATGATGAATATTGCAAAATTTATATACCTTTTTATAAAATTGATATGATATCATTACAAAAAAAAAGAATACAGTATATTAATAATTAATTGTCACTTGGTTTTATTCTTTCTTTTTTAAATAATTAAATAATCCGAATATTATTTGATAATAATAAATTTAGTTCATTTATTCATTTGTAATTATCGATTAGATCTTATAAAAAATAATGGTCTCACTCGGTAATCGCCGACCAATATATAAATGACACGTTATCATTATAAATATTATTGACATTAATTCATTTTAATAATATTATGACATCATTATTTTAAAATGTAATCAATTGGAGAAGTAAACATCTTAATGGCATTTCTTGGGGAGACCCTTGCTCGGAAACCTAATTTAATTTGATAATATCTAAAATTTAATATTTGAGAAAATGTCTTTCTCTTAGCACGCCTAAATGACGATTACTGAGAGTCAGACACTGAGGTATTCTCTAATTATTTTTTCAAAATTTTTGAAGTTCACAATAAAAAACTCCTAATTGCTTTATATATCCGTGGTTCAATTTTATATATACAATCATTTTCTAAATATACCTTTTACGAATAATTCCTCTTTAGCCTTGAAAATACTTTATTTAAAATGTATACTATTTAAATTCCTCACCCATATATATATATAACTGCATAAGTGGGGGGGGGGGGGGGTGTTAAAATTTGCAAAGTTTTGTAAATATAATATTAAGCAAATAGAAATTGACACGATAACACCTAACTTCCACCCTAAATCCCTACTTAGAAAAATCCTAGGTACTATGGCCTAATATGATATTTTAATGCCTCGTTAAATCCCAAATGAGCCAAAATAAAGATTTAGAAAAATACCAATTTTCATTTTCTTATTATTATTTATTAGGTCATTTCCCTTACATTTTATATTTTTACTACTAAGAAAATATATTAATTATAATATTATTACAAGACCATACCAAAAAAATCTTGCCCCACCCACTCTCCCACCGAGCAAAAATGTTTACGCCCTACCTCATAATTTGAGGTCTGTGTATCTTTAAAAATTTGTATGTCTCCTAACATTACGGGTATTGCGAGTATGTCTTTTACATCTCTGATCTAATATTATTAATTTTGTTTTCTTAGATAAAGGCGTGTAACAGGAATTTTATACCAGGCGGATAAATTTTTTAAAAATATTTTATGAATTTTATTTGAATCACAAAAACTTATTAGAGCTTTAAAAATTTAAACACCAATAAAAATACATTATTAATAAGAGCAAATAATAAATTATGCATAATATTGAATAAAACCCGGTAGGTAAATTACAATAGAATCAAAAAATTAAACATTATATAATCAAAATATCATTATTTTTAATCATAAATATAAATTTAATCTTTTTTTGCAATTGAGCCAATTTTCAATAAGTTGTTCTATGTTGGGGATCAAATATCTGTGATTATTTTATGATCTAGCATTTCTGAGATAGGTTTTTATTCTCCGTAATGATTAGATATTTTACTCATTTGTGCTTATTGGTATTATTGCTTAAATATAAAAGTAATTTTCAATATATTTGGGAAAAAAACTTTAAAATATATTTTAATGTATGCAATGTCTCCAAGTTTGGAAGATCACCTACTAGTATTAATCTTTCATTCCAAAATTTAAATTTTAAGGGCATCAGATACTAAAATATTCTCTGAATAAAATTGGGTCAGATGTTTAATTTTTTCAATATCAAGAGTTAATATATCTTCAGGCGGGTTGCGAGATAATAATATATAATTGGATAGTCATATGATAAATAAAAAATTGTTCATTGATTTGGGTCATGAATATATCTAAAAGTAGTATAATGATGGTTATTAATTTTATAATAATCTTCAATCGAAGCAACGCTAAAAAAATATATGTTTGTTCAGGCTTAATTCAAAACCATATCTATAACTTTACCCCACCAATCTTATATATCTCAATTCTTGGCCAATATCATCTCTTACTTTTTATGTTGTATACTACAATTATATCCGCGATTTTTCAGGTTTCCGTTGAATCAATATTATTTTATTGAAAAATATTACACATATTTGTAACTACATAATTTATTTACACATTTTAATGCAAAAAAAAGACTGTCGTATTGAATAAAATAATATTCATTCAAAATTATAGATAGCTATTCTGATATAATTTCTACATGTAACCAAAATCAGTTATCTATATCAGAATAATCCTTTTTTAAATGAAATACAATACCCCCCTCATCTCTTGGTGGCTACGCATTTGGTTTATTATATTCATTTTATTAAAAGATAAAACTCATATTTTAAAAAATATATTTGCTTTCGAACTGATCAGGCCTGTCCACTCGACCTAAGAAATAGGTGCTAGAACCTGCCCGTCTTTCAGGCGTTTTAAGAAAAGAAGACTAGACTAGTCTTCCAAACTATACTTATACGTTTTTAGTCAGTTCCCGTAAATTTTCGGCAAGGCGATAGTTTAATAGGTTCTCCCTACATGCGCAGTAAGTTTTGCAATTTAAATCATTAAAGCGTTTTTATTAAATTTAAAGATCTGCCGGAAATGCATTTTAAAATATGTAAAATCCCACCCTATAAATTTAAGCCAATTTTATCACCAACCTTTGAAAAAACTTTAATTTATATTAATTTTTTTTTCATATTTTTATTGTAAATTCAAATTTCTTTCATAGGGTGGGTATTATAAACCTATTGGAATGCATTTTTGGCAAAATCAGATTTTTAAATTTAAGATAACGCGCGCAATTAAAGATTTAAAATGCAAAAATAAAACAATTTCAATCATCTATCGCTTTACCAAATCTTCTAATTTACAGGTCCTACGTATTTTCCAGTTTAAAGCGTTTTAAATATGATCCTTTCCTATATATCTACATCTCAACAGTAAAAAGGACAAGACTTTAATTACATAATATATTTCTTTGAAAACTCAAGGTTGTTTATAAAAGAAAAATAAATAAATTTATAAAAAAAAACTTTTTAAAATCATTTTAAATTCAACTATAAAAAACAAATAAAATACCATATTAAATATATATTTTTCAAATATGATATTTCAAATTTATATCTTCTGGAACTCTTACAAAGAATTTCAATAAATAAAATTTATAGTTAAATTGCTATAAAAAATATATAATGAAACAGGTATAAAAATTTTGAGGATATATAAGATTATTTATTACTTTTTCTATTATGCACTTCAAAAAATTTTTTTAATATTATTGTTATTAAAACTATCTTCATTTGAAATCCTATTTGTGATACATTTTAAATTATAATACCTTTTTAATGAACCCATAAATTATCTTTTTTTATATTATATAATGTATTTAATGTATATTGTAAAAATTTGGTGTTCATTTTTTTTTTGTTCGCAAAACTATTAAGTATTTATATAAAGGTTTGTTTGTTTTAGAAAATTATAATAAAAATGTAAAAATATAATTTAGAAATACACACAGGTATATAATAAGCTATAAAAATTATAAATTATATAATTGTAATAAATCCATTATGACAGAATAAAAAAATATTCGATTATTTTTAAAACAAACATTTTTTTCATATCGTTGCATTTCATAAATTATTTTTATATATACCTCATTACATATATACATGTCCCAAGTATATTTTATCTTGTGGTATATCATTGGGAGTAGAACATGTCCCAAGTATATTTTATCTTGTGGTATATCATTGGGAGTAGTAAATCTATTAGTTTCGTTCTTAAAACATATCTTCCATCAGACCTATAGCTGGACTAACGATGCTGCCACCTGGCTGGCAATTTTTCTTAGCGGCCTCATTTTTATGGTGGGTGTGTTTTGTCCCCATACTTTTTATTTTTTCAGCTTTTTATTATTTCTTATATAAAAACATGTCTAAAACGATGGATTAAACACTATATTGCAGCTATTATATTTTTGATTGGGAAATTTATTTTATTGACTTGATAATTTTATTTTAAGAATTGCACTTTTAAAATTATAAATATATATTCCACTTCACATAAATTCCTATTAAATGTTTATGTAAAATATAATAATATTCAACTAAATTCCATAGTTGGAGTCTACAAACAGAAATTGTTAACCTATATCTTCATGATCCTTGTTTTTAATTCACAGCATAAATATCCAATAATGAATAATACATATTTACCCTCTTCCGCTCCCTTAGACCTTTATTTCCGTTGAAAATTTAATTAATAAACCAAATAGTAGACGTAAATGATGTTTTATTTAGAAAATTAGTCCTTTATTGAATTCTTAAAATGATCTTTTATTGTTATTATATTATATTAGACGATAAGATATTACTAAACTAGTTTCCGTTTA